AGGGATTGTCTCCGTAAGCATGCCTGTTTCTTAGAGATTGCCATATCCCTTTAAGGCAGCACAAAGCCCTTCTTTATAGTGGTTTTAAAATGACCTCCTAAAGTAAGACAGCAGGGTCAAACTGACCACACATTATCTAGCCATGTCCTCAACTATTGCCTCATAACTTACAGATTTGTTTAATAGCTTTTATAGTTAGAAAAAAGCAATTCCTCAGATCACTGTGACTTATCTTTTTAAAAACAAGTCTCTTCTCAATAGCTAGCTAGATTTTTTGGGAAAATCATATGGTAATCTTCAATCCACCTTTGTCTTGCAGATATTACACGAAATGACCAGCATCTCCAAAAGCCACTGTGACACTCCAGATCTCTCCCTCCCTCCTACCTCCCCAGTTAATTGGCAGATCTTTCTAGAGGACTTTGAGGAAAAAAAAAAACCTCTAAAGGAGGGTTCAATCAGCCTCCATTCAGGACAAGGTTGTTTACACCTGCAGTTAGCTTCCTCAAACATTCATCTGTACTATTTCTCTGCATCAGTCCGTAAATAGATTCATCTCTCACCATGCATATACAACACAGGTAGTGAAATAAACTTAAGTCATAAACAAAAAAAAAATCCAGAACAGCACAACTTAAGAACGTTCAGCTTGTAAAATCCAACCCTCAGCACTGGGACATGCCAGGATGAGAATTGCTGGTACCACCTCGATTCATGCCTGCTAAAAATGAGTTATAGTACTGGTGTTATAACATGGCCCCACAGTTATTTTGCCTGGAGATCCATACATTCAATGCACTGAAGGTGGCAATTGCTGAAGGAGCAGCTAGTCACACTTCTGTTTTCTCTTTATTGGCATAGTGTCTGGACCACACGCTGAATATATTTACGGCGCATCAGCCGAGCCTTGTGCAGATTACAGAACTACTGATTTACTCCAGGGCATTTCTTCAGTGTCCATCTCTGCAGCAGCCTACTGATTTGGAAACAAATATTTAGTTATCGTCATCGGAGGTGAGGGAGGGTGGGGTTACACAAAGCCCTGTTTTACTACAGAGGCTCGGAAGCCAAAAGCTTTGGTTTGAGTGCTAAGCTTGTGACAAAGACCAACTGCTTCCCCCACCCCTCACTCCAGGTTATTTAGCATTTCCCATCATTGGAACTGGAAACATGCTCTACTGTATGCATCAGTTAAACTCAACCCTTGGTGTCCCAAACAGTGCATGTTGGAAACTGGGAGACTTGCACTGCATGACGACCCATGAAGAGCTGACGTGCTGCACAGGATCCCTGTGATAAAGGCAAGACAGACCATTTCTCCTTGGCAGTGTTCAGCTTGCACTAACCACGTGACTGGGCTTTCTCTTCCTGCAGCGCTGTCTGTGGATGCTGATAAAGTCTTCCCCAGACCTGACTGCCAGGGGTCTGCAAAGGCAACAGCCCCTTCAGCACCTAACTCTGAGCTGCAGCCCGTGCTCAACTCAAAACTTTGTATCACCAAAGGTCCATAGCCTGGCGCTTCACCAAACCTGCTCTGAGCAGTGACTTCTGCTCATAAACAGACAGGGAACCCAGCAGTTTGCAAAGCTGGTGCCCCATCTACCTGGTCCTCAAAGCTTGTCCTGAAGGTAATCACCCGACCTGTGTCTTGATCTGAAACATCCCAACATTAGTAAGCCCATGGCTGGAGCTTGCTAAGTGAGAGCAGAGAATGATGCTTACGCATAACCTCTAACAATATCGGACTCACAGAAAGCTAGATAATCCCACTCCCAGTTCCTTCAAAACTCACTCCAGGGCTCTCACCGTACTTTTTTCAGACAAGCTGCAGTTAAATACAACAGCATTGTTGCTTTAGTAGTCAGATTTGAAAGTCAAGTTATTCAAGAAGCAAAAGGCAAAGCTTGTCTTTTTGTGTGTGTTTTGAGCAGGCAAGGGAGAGGAGCTCACTATTCACTCAGCACTTGGTTCCTTTGATGATTGCATGAGCATACACACATGCTTCCTAGGCCACGGTTTTCTCTGAAATTCATTCTTTTTCTGGAACCAACTCTTTAGGGGGATTTTTTTTAAAAAAAAAAAAAAAAGAGAGAACTCCTATCCTATCACCATCAATTACAACTTGCCTGTGACTGAACAGGTACCAGCAAATTCGTCAGCGAGCGACTGATACTTCCATAGTTGCAGCTGGATGCATCAGCAGGGGTGCTCGTCTTGCCCTTGGAGCCAGCCGTGTATCCCAGTCGGTGGGAAGATGGCTGCTTAAGGCTTTAAGACACTGAGCGCAGTACATACAATACAGCCTCTGCTTGAAGTAAGCAGCAACAGAATCGAAACCACTTTGTTTCAAGAGTGCATTCAGGCCTTGGGCCGCAACTGGCATCGAGACAATCCTCCAAAGTGGCAAAGTGCTCCTGTTGAAGGAGCAAGTCTTGCCCGGCTCCCTCAGAGACGGCAGCGTACAATCGTTTCAAGGGCTAGGGCCACCGCATTCGTCCACCCGCAGGCTGAATTTTCAAAGTCGTTATCTCAGAAAATGAAGCAGGATAGGGTATTTTCAGATTGATAAGAGACTGCTGAAGAGCTAAAGCCTCTATTTTATTGCTCCGTTGTAACAGGAAAACATACCTGAACAATCAACTGCGTACCTCTGAGCAGCTGCGGCGGAATAAAGTTCAGATACTCTTGACTACAGCTGACCTGTAGGAAGAAGCAGGTACTTCACACGGTTACCAGAATAGCAATCAAACCAGAAGCTATCAGTTTCACTTGTGCATTTGGTATGCAACCCAGCAAGAAGATGCAGCTCAGCTTTGAGATAAAACAGATGAGAAATACTATCAGGGTTGAGGGTTCCAATTTAACTGCAGTTACATAGAAACCAAGTGTAAAAAGGCTTTATTTTTCTCCTCATTATCCAGAACGCAGAAATGAGCATGAGACTCTTCCCATACCTCACAGAGGCTTCACAGACCGATTATTTTTATGTTACGACAGAAGTATGTAAGTGGACTTGAACAATCAGCACACTTTGCCAGAGGAACAGAATTATTCTCAAAGACAAAACTAGAGTAAGATGTTATCCCTGTTTGGGCTGTGTGAACCAGTTACTGCACCTTCAGAGGGCACTCAACGTCCACTTTATATTCGTGTGCACTTACGCTCATGAGCATGAGTTACTGTTAAAGATGCACTTTTAAGTAAAGGCTAAAAAAAAAAAAAAGTTGACAGCTCTTTAGGAATTGGAGCTTTTAAAGAAACCACAAAGCAATCAGCTTTTGAAAGCTCTTCTGTCATACACCAAGAATGCCATGAATCACATGCACATTAGCAGATGTCGTGTACAAATCTCTGCTGCAACACAAGGAGGACAGACCTCAAGCACTTTGGCATCGAAAAGAAGCCTACATTTTAACCCTGCTGCTGACAGCCATAACACTGTTAATTACAACTTACAGCTCATAGTTGTGGGAGTGTTGCAGAAAACACCAGAGCAATAATTAAAAAAAAAAAAAAACACCAAAATATTCTGCACCTGTTTAAATGCATGAAAAAATTATTTGAAACTTTCAGCTGAAGTATTTGGGTCAAGAGTTACACCCGAGGTACTAGGTAAAGCACCATTTTAACTCCAGGTGCACATTGCAATACCAGAAAATAAGCAAATTAAACTATTTAATAAGCCAGACAGGCAAGAGACCTGGACATAAGTCAAACCTGTAGTAGAAGTTAAGCTTGGGAAAGCTTTAAAAGACTTTGTGCTTAACCTTTAAATACCATGAAAGGCAGTCCATCACCTTACGGTGTTTGCTGTAAGCCACCTCAACACAAAAGGAACAACACAGTTCTAATTTCCACTACCATATCGAAGACATGCAGTGTCTGTGTTACAAGAAAATTATGCATCTTTGTACTGAGGAAAGCAATAGGCAGGTCTCCTTGTAGATGTGGGGTTTCCTTTTACCCAAACCTCACAGGCTCCCTAAGAATTATTTCTACACAACCTCTCAATATCAGCTGATTGTTTCATCACACCAACGTAACTGACACCGTGGCCATCTTCAGATCTTAGGTCCTCTAGGAAAACAAACAAACAAACAAACACACACAAAACAACTAAAATCTCACAAGACTAACAGCACTGAAGAGAATGGAAAGACAATGATCCAAATTTTGTTTCCCCCTATCAAACTAAATTCATTTGCAAGACAATTTAGCTTATGTTATCTCAAGGAAATTGCAGGAAGCTACTGCAGCTACATCTAAGCTCTTCATACTCCATACATGTTTTCTAGTGTAGATATCACAATAACTGGAGCCAGTTTAAAAACGAGTGGTTAATTTTCAAACAATTTGGACAGGTTTACTTCCAGATAAAAAGCTTAAATAAAAACGTTTTTAAAAAGTCATACTATTCACCAGAAGCTGCCAATAATGTCTATTATTTTGAAAGAGTTGGATATGCTGCAAACATCCTTCCTATCCCCCTCAACAGAAAGCTGTTGATCCAAACTTTAATTCACAATATTGTAACTTGGGAGTTTTACTAAATGAAGTTTCCTGTATGTTTCAGCGTAGATCAGAACTTAGTTTTCTAGGTCACCTTGAAGATAAAATCCAAGCTGCTAGCTTTTCAAGAAGTTGTTGTGTCTTAACAATGCCTTTCTGCACACCCATTCTACTCTGAAGGAATATTTCCATCTTACAGAAGAGAAGCATGTTTTATTCCTGGGCACATCTGTTTCATACTCTTAAAGTACACGCTTCATCTGCACTAGAAGTGTTATCAACTAAATTTATGAAACACTTAGGGACACTAAGTATCTGTGTAAATCTCTGCTCAGCCCTTTACCAGAAAAGGGTAGGGGAAGAACACATTGTGAAAAAACAGTGAAAGATCTGAGTGGCAAAGTAACTCTGATAATCTCAAATGTCACAGTCTCACATAAAATAAGAATTGACACTTTCTCATTTTTAAGTGATATTAAAAGAAGGCAAGATGAATTTTAAAAAAGTTTTATTATACAAAAGATGATCCAAACCCAGAAGAGTTCTTCTGCAGTTGTAAGAGTTTTGTTCTGTGACTTGTACTTCCATATGCTTTTCCAAAAAGCCAAGATAAAAAGGCTCATTAGTCCCACTTTCTTCTTACCAAGAGTGTTAAAAAAAACATAGCTGCATCAGAATCTGTTATTTATTCTTTGTATTCCAAGAATTGCTGAAGTCTTTTCTTATGTTCTGTAGACACTTGCACAGCACTAAAAACAACAAATGCAGAACATAAGATTTTACATTAAATGTAATATACCACAAAAATAAAGCCTCATGCCAAAATTACATTTACATTGAAATCAACAATTACACTGAAGCTAAATTTTAGAAAACCCAGCTGTAGGAAAAACTTACCTTCCAAGAAAAAGACAAAAAAGTATATTAACCCTTAATACTGTCAATTCTTATCCTCAACAGCTTCCACTACTAAAAGACACTTGTCCCAAGAAACTTAGCCTATTCCCTTACCTTTAAACACATACAGGCTATCGTTTAACTTGCAAGAATGATTTAGGTAAGAAAGAACATCTTAAAATGACCTCTCCTGTACATCTAGCACTTCCAAACTGAGTAACACTCATCCCCACCGGGAGAGATGGACAGATACTGGTTTCAGCCCCACATATTCAGAGGCCAGGTACAAAAGTCTGCCTGCTGCGACAGTAGCTGAGAAAGAGTTATCAGACAACAAAGAAGCAAGGGAATTTGATTATTTGGAGTCTTCATAGGATTCTCAGGATTCTCTCCCTACAGAACAGACAATTGTCTCTAGTTGATTTACCTTCTTTTCAACAGCTAAGATTTATTAAACGAGTGGTATTCATGGACTGCTTCTAAAGAGTTCATGAAAAGTCACTAAGAAAAATCGCCCAGAAATCTATGAGTAGTAAGTTTCTGAGGGGGACCATATATCTACACAAAAAAATTTTAAGGTTCCACAAATCAAAAAAAATACTAAAATACAATGTTAGAAAAATGACCTGAAGGGATTTTTGCACAAACTTTCATTTTTGCAGGTCCTACAATAACATTAATTAAAACTAAATTCAGCAAGCAAGCAAGGATGAAAAAGTTCTTACTTCAAGTGTTCTCCAAAGACAGTAGTTATTCGGTATAGTGCTGTTTTCAGAGATGCTCTAAGTGCAAATCGTAGCGTTTTGTAGGACGTGTCCACCAGACTTCCTGAAACCCTGGGAGGTTTGCTAGAAACATGAGGCAGTTTGAAATATCTGTCTACAACCTGATTGAGGAAAAACATAAATGAACTTGTTTCATCTGTTCAATTATTTCATAACGCAATTAGCAACACATTTATGTCAAATAAAGCAAAAGGAAAGCGCAAGTTCAGAAATTCCACCAAGACACACAAAAACATTTTGGAGACTGAGCTTGACTTTGCATTTCCTGTCCATCAATGTGCACACAGAACCAACTTCTGTGAAATAACATTCTGTTAACGAGTCTTAAATGCTAAGCACAGCACACGCTGCAGTAGGGATACAATTCTGTCCTGCATTATGACTTGTTTCCTTCAGAAACAAGGGCATTGGCTTTTTTTTCCCCCTGGTGCCAGTTCTTGGAAGAGATGCCTTCCACTGAAGAACTTTAATAACCTCTAAATTCTTTCCAAGAATCTCCATTAAGGCAGTGCAAAACGATTATATCAATAGGACACGATTAGCGTTGGAAATGAATCTGGATTTTTTTTAAAAATACATTACACAAACATCAGTAATTTGAGAGTAATGTCTTAGCAGAAAAACACCACACAGATCTCATCTCCTGTGATTTGCAACGTCTTCAAGTGCTCCAGGTTGCACGCAGAATTATGTACAGCCAAATAAAGACAAAGTCCTAACTTTGCATAAAATATAGTATTATAATGCTGCATCCCTGAAATAAAGTCTTTAACTGAGCACATAGTACCTTTTTTTTTTAATAAAACTTTCCATTAGAAACATGCTTTCTACTTCTGCATTTTAAAAACCTAACAAGGTTTTTATTTAACTGCTTCACAATGCACTTAGTGGCAACTAGCTGTTTTGCTTAGATTAACTGCAGAAGAGAAGCCATTTACAGTAGTAACAACCTGAATGTTATGACTGGTCAGCAGTGTCAAAATATAAAATTAACAAATCTCCTTCTCTTCCCTTAAACTTGCTTTTTTGCAGAAAGGAAAAGTTAACAGTTTTTACCTCCTGAAGAGTCAGTAAAGTATTCAGGATAGCTGGCAGTGTAGTTTGGACAACTCCAAATTGGTCTTCAGTAAAGGAGGCTGCTACCAAATGAGACAGACCTTTAAAAAGAAAAAGTTTGCTATAATTACTGAATTCTCAGCTTCTGAAGCATTAACAAAGATCATGCTTTTGCCTGAAGATTCTACTAGTGCAGTGGAATTCTTCAGGGCTCACTGCAGCCAGATGACAGTTACCTCAGCTTTGGCTTGCTTCAGGACTAACCAGTCACTGGTTGGACAGGTGTACAATAGTTCGAGGTTGATGATAATGCGAGAGAGATTATATATAAAATAAGCTTTAAAAAAAAACATTGGCTCCCTCTTTCCACTACTCTGGAGCTGCACCTGACATCAACCACAAGACAGGACCTATTTCACAATTCCTCTAGCCATACACAAATACTTCAGATCACTTAACTTTCTTTGTTCAGCTTGTATGAGGAGAACTCTCTACTACTTTGAGGAAAACCTTGATTTAGCTTTAAATCCCTTCTCAGTTTAGTTATTTTTTAAAATTATATTTAAAAAAAAAAAAAAAATTTTAAATTACAGCCTAGCCCTCTGTCCCTAGTTAAAACACAAATGGCATCTTCCACTTTTCTGCAAAATGTACATGCAATTCCCATCTGCTGACTCCATACGTCCCAACTCATCACCTTCAATCTGACACAGCCTGGCATATCTGCCCATAAAACATATATCCTGGGAAAAAAGATCACCTTCTGCATGGACAAATCTAATAAAAGTTTCTCTTAATACCAGTATTTGCTCAGGACTTTGAAACACAGAAGAAAATCCCATAGTGCAACCCACATACTGTCATTGTTCTTTGAATTCTCTGCAGACCATCTTTTTCCATTTATTTGTTAAGTTACTACCTGAGTGCCTCCCTCCCTCAACTCTCTGTGATTAACAGAGAAAGACTCAGCCTTTAGTCAGAAAAGCTGTTGTAAAGAGATATCATAAATCTGTTACTGAAAAAAAAAAAAAGAAATGTAAAGTGATACATAGGTTCACGTGGGAGAGAAGCAACAGAAATCACGTTTAGGAATCTCTACCAAACATCTGCAGAACCTAAACTAAGAGATCTCACATGAGATCTCAAAACTAACAGGCGAATTAGACCTTTATTCACATTGGTATCTGAAACTCAGTTGGGTTTTTGTGAAAATAGATTCAAAAATTTTCCTTCCGTTACGTTTATTAAGCACAGAGTCCCAGAAACCTGGAATGGGATCCTTTTAGTTGTAGTGTCATGAGCTGGAGTGGATCACCTGGGAATTAAAATTGCTTACCTTCCAAAGCCCAGATGTGCATTTGGGCATCAGAGAAGACAGCTTGAATGGAGGCTTCTGGGTGCTGGGGAGAAATCAAATCATTCTGAGTGCACTTCATAAATAATACCACCGAAATCGCAGGTTTCAATTCAAGTATTACACATTTGACAGGGTCATGTCCCTCCTCTCAGAAAAGACCTGCGAGGCTGACAGATCTCAGGGAATACCTGGAAAAATCTGATCTTTTAACAAACTAAAATTCTATTTGGACAGGAACTGCTCACAAAGCTACATCTATACGCTTGGGCCTTCTGGAAAAAGACAGTATATTAGCTAGTGAGTTTTCAAGGGCTAAATGGGCAGCACAATTCTCCCAGGCCTACTTCATGATCTTGCTTGCCCCAGTCTCTGCTCCAGTCTATAACTGATCAGAAAACAATGCTGTGCATGTAAGCATAAAGCATTATCACATACACAGAAAAGATCTGCACGGAAAAACATGATTTCTACTTGCAGGAAAACATGTAAATCCCTGAAAACCAAAGACCTAAATTAGGGGAGGATGCTTCTGTAAAACTTCATTGAGTTATTGTTCAACTTTGCTAAGGCAAGTACCCAATTGTTTTCCTGTGTAAATACTACGCGAATTTCGTTTTAGTGTTCAAGTTCATCTGAAAAGTAGTAGTAGTATTAGTAGCAGTATTTCATAAAGAGAAATTCTCAACATTCTAGCTACCACTTCTTCTACGAAAGAAAACTATAAAGAATTCATTTGGTATACCGACCTAACAAAAGGTAGTTAACTGAATTTTAACATTAACTAGAGGTTGGGTCATCTTATAATTAGTATACCGAGACAGCTGCATTTAAGTTCTTAGCCGTGTTTTACAAGCGAGTACATGATGCTTTAAGCAAAATGCAGTTTATAATCACATGAGTTTTATACCGACCTAACAAAAGGTAGTTAACTGAAAAACAAGTATTATTATTCTTTTTTTTTATGCAGGTATGGCATACTCCTGCTACGAAACTCACAGTAAGCATGAAGTTGTACTGATGGAAAACCTTAGATGAAAAGAAAGGTTTTAGAACCACTACTATATGCAAAAGGTACACAGTGCCACAGCAGAACCAATATGCTCATGCACTTCTAGTCCACGCTGTTCAGTCACAAAACATAAGATCATGATTACCTTGCTGAAGAAATACATTATCAGCACTCGTTTTGACAAGAAGGTTTTTATCTGGAAAGAAACAAAAGATTAAATATAATATATCTTTACCTGAAGGTATGCACAGTTGACCCTTCTCAAGCCTTCTCACAGTATAAAGGGACTGGGGGGTGGGGGGAAGGATTTTTGTTATGCAAGTGAATTGGAGAAGGAAGTATTCCTTAACAAAAATGGAAAGATCTTTCTGAAGAGAGAAAACCTAAGCTGCACTGGCTGTAGCCTATCTGTACTGCGACTTTTCCTGTACCTGTTCTCGCCTGTTCTGAAGCCAGGTGTAAATAAAGCTTGGCTGTACTGCCTCACTGAGAACTCTTGTAGCAGAGAGCACTGGGAAGGATTCGTGGTGGGAACCATTCATTTGCAGATCTGTAAGAGAAACACAGTATCTTCAGAAAAACTAGTTGCTGTCACTTGAAGGCTCAAGATACAGATCTCTTGACATTCCTACTACACTTATGACTACAAGGCTTAAAACAGAGCTGTGGGAAAATCACTACCTGAACCTGACGTCCACAGCTTTGGTCCCCTTCTCCTAACTTGAGGACTTCGGACTGATCCATGCCAAGGAGAGTTTACATCCAGAATTCCCATCTTGCTGTTTAAAGTAGGTGAGCTGAAAGGCGAACCAACATCAGACCCAGGCGATGTCTTTAAAGGCATTAGGGATGATTTAACCAGTGAAGTCATGGAGGCTTTGAGAATGATATTAGACCTCTGTGACTGGAAAGACACGTCTTCTGTCACAACAGCTCCTAATGACAAAGAACATACTGCATGAAGACAGACAGGCTGGCACGTCCAAAATAAAAGATGGGTTTGTTATTTGATTGCTATTTCAACAACCTCTCTAACATTAGAGCTTTTATTAAAAGACGGTGTTTCCACTGTGGTTTTGCAAAAGAAGTACACATGAGCATGAAGTGTTTAAAAGTTCGTCAGTTTAGAGAAGGATCCCTGAGGATTTATTTATTTTTCTCCTTTTGCTAGCTAGCATTACTACACCCTAGCATATATCTACCTAAAGTGTGCTTTTAGGATTAAGTACTAGAAAAAAGACTACCTATAGAAGAATGGCAATTATTTCTGATTCTGTTTGGTATGTAAGCAAAGACATGCTAGTCACAAAATTCAAGGAACAGCAGCACTAGAAGAAATTCACCTCCGACATACCAGCAGTCCCCTGCTGTTCCCAGGACACTTGTATCCTAGGCACTGACTGCTAAGGGATTCAATTACCTGGCACCCCTTGTGCCAACACAGCTCTGCTGCCAGGAATGATGCGCAAGTCTGGCACGTGAAACACCTGAAGTGCTTGCAGGCTGCACACAGCTTGAGTCAGATTGGCTTTTCTTATTCTATGGTGGTACTCGTGAATCGCACAAACACGTGCAAAGTCCCCACAACAAACCAAAAACTAACTTTACCATCTTAAACTAATCATAAGAGCGGCTATGCAAATCACAAAGCATCTCTTGGCAAGACCTAAGTTCTCCCTGTACTAAGTTCAGCCACTTACTAAGACTGCAATAATTCATGCAGACTTTCTTAATTCATGCAGATGTGGAAAAAATACTGTACTGAACATAGCATCATGCAAAGTAAACAAAATGAGTAAACATGATCTTTCCAAGTGTTCTAGTTATTTTAGGATTATTTCAACAAGAATACCTAAAATTAAATTGGGGACGAGACTTCTTTTGTTTGCATTTATTTGCAGAAAACCCTATGACTCATTTTCCCCATAGAACTTAATTGAGACTAATGCACCTCTGTAATCTGTTGGCACTTTCATGCTTTACAAACTATTACGAGCGTTTCCTCACATACCTGGAGTCTGTGGAGATATTTTCAGCTCTCCTGCTGGCTGCTTTGCTCTGCCATTTGCTGCTGCAGCTTCCTGCTGTGTGATCAGCCTCTGGGTCAGATCACTCAGAAGGCTCAAACACTCCCTTGATATTGCAGCCCAGTTGTGCGGGTGCCCACCTAGCAGCATGCAAACACAAAGGAAACGCAGTAGGTATGTTTAATCCAGATGTTCATCCTTGTATCTATTCTGGCAGTGTCCATGTGCTCTCAGCACAAGCTTCAGAGATTATAGTACCACTCCATTTCTAACAAGACACAGTGCATTTTCACTGCAACAGTTTATTTGTACTGAGAGAAAGATGAAAACACAGACAGACTCTATTCTATCCATTGACTCCTGCCAATGGATAACTCTAAAAAGACCATAGTGAAACTCGCTAAGCAAGCAGGAAAAAACAGGCAGTTCAGCCCATCAGAGCTGAAATCACTGAACAACTGAAACGAACAACGTAATATCAACAGTGATGGTAAACAGTTCTGAAGTATACAAACACTAGAATTCCTGGTGAGGTGTAACAAAAAGTTCCTGAAGGTTTTTAACCAGTTTTAATTGACCTTCTCTTTGTATATAGCAAGAGGCTTGAATACTAATTGAAATCATGGTCATTGTTTGCTTTCACAACTCTAGTGGTAGCTCACTATTTATGCTTGATTTCACCTCTCTCACATCTGAACGTCGGGCTTTCACACCCATCCGTTAGATTATTCAGTTTGGACTATTTGACTGGTGGTGTCGAGAGGACCCTGCTTTCAATACCTTAAGACCTGTGTTTCCTCACGGCTGTCATTTCAATCAAACAACAAGCACCAGAATTTGTTGAGTTTAGTAGATGAAACAATATGAATACAGACAACTAATCATCCTTTTGGAAAAGGCATCATAGGGATACTTTTACTTATGAGGCCTTCTGGCTTATGTAGCATGCATAACAGCATTAAGTAACTTCTAAAAGCATTTGACCAGTGCTTTTTAAAAAAAGAAAAAGAATCAACATTAAATACTTTTTATAATTACCTGGCTGACTAAGGCTAAAGACTTCCTGTCGTCGAACAGGAGAATATTGGGAAAGTAACATCAAGTCTTGTAAGGCTAAAAACTACAAAGAAAGGAAAATGTTTTAGTGCATGCGAAGTCCAACAGATTTCCTTTAAAAATGTAGTTACCCATACAAAAGCAATCCCTAACAAAGAATGAGTTCACACAGACTGAAACCAGCCTGTAACAAAAAGAAGGAAGGCAAATGACAGCACATATCACTAGAACCACTCTGGATGGGGTTGCTGAGTTAGTAAGAGCTTCAGAGAACTTTACTGATAAGTCATTTCTTTGGAGTTAAAGACAGTCTAACACCATTTTTTTAATCTTAACAGCTAACAGCTCAGACAGAAAGAACCTAAGACACCAAAATTCTACGGAAAAATACCTGGTTTTGCAAGCCAGAGCTCAACTACCCAGTATGCCATACAGTACTGGACCTAATACTGCTTTTTCATGTGATTAAGTAGTTCATGTGGCAAACCAAAAATAACCAGACTTCTCACATTATGCAAGATCTATAAATTAGACTTCCTCTACCTTTAACTGTGCTGTGCTTGACTCTTCTCCACCCATCCTTTGATAATACAGCAAAGCTTAAAAAAATATTCTAATGGATTGCAGCCTATTATATCTCCTGTCTTATCAGAGATCTGTAAGATCAGTAAACGTGGATTTTGCACATGCAGAATATTCTTATCTTTATTTGCATAATACTTCTTATATGAGGTCTCCAATTGCTAAGTATAAGATCAGTAAACGTGGATTTTGCACATGCAGGAGAATATTCTTATCTTTATTTACATAATACTTTTTATATGAGGTCTCCAATTGCTAAGTATCTAATCAGTAAATCCCATTAATGATTACCATAGTCAGACCAAAATTACTCTTCTTTACTCACAGATTTTAAGTAGCTTTTTAGTATTGTCTTTTTTAAAAAAAGAAACACAACTTCCAACATAAATATGGAAATATTTTGTAATTTCAAGAGAGAACACACACGTAAGCACTCAAATATAGCAGGGGCAAAGTGTTAAGAATGTACAAAGGTTTGACAAAACACCTGCTTATCTGACAAGACTCATGAAAGAGCTAAAAAACCCCTGAATGTCACTAACCTTTTGGTTTTGCATCAGTACACACTAACATACTTCTGTTGCAGACAAACAGATCCTACCTCTAACTAAATGAGGCATTAGCTCAAAGTAACACAGTGTGGTGAGCACCAGCAGATGTCACTACCAAACAAGTTTTCATTCTTAAGTGTGACCACCTCCTCAGCGTTCAGAGGCAGCTTTATGAAGAACCAGCACCTCTGTTAACTGGTACCCAGCAGATCTGATTGCATGCTCTGCGAAACACCTCGGCACACACCTAGCTGAGAGATGGTGGGAATTCAGTTACCTTTATAATGAGGGGAGGGTTGCTGTTTAAGATTTTAGGCAGGCATTGGTCTGTCTCCTCAGCAAAAGTTGGCTGGACAGGAAAATGATGTGTCTAGAAATAAACATCGGAATCGTGTTACACAGAGCAAAACACAAGAACACCTTATGAAAGACCACACCCCAGCTGTTACTTGTCAGATGGACGATGAACTACAAAAGCACATGCCCCATTGCTTCATCTGACTGTAAACTAGCCTGAAATTTCTGATGTGGAAACAAGATGACTTACTCCTTCCATTTACAATTGACAAATCTTAGAAAATTGAAGTATCTTTATGTTTAAATACATTCCATGTACCCGTATGGTTTGTAGCTAGGGGTATCATATCACTATGAAAAGAAATTCCTCTAAACACATACGGAGGGGAAAAACTAGCGACACCATATTCAGAAAACGAGACTGAAATCCAAACTGTAAAGCCTATCTTTAACAGCGTAACCACTCTGGGGAAGAACTGAGGGCTCTTTTACCAAGTAAAAAAAGATCTGAATTCTTCTCTTGCACTGTTTCACTGATAAACTAATGAATTCTGATTTTTATCATCATGACATTCATGTTCTGTGTTTGAACAGAATTTCCGTTCTTGTGGCTACAACATTGAAGATGTAAGTAAACAGCAGTGCTTAAATTGTATCAAACATGGCATCTTTTTAATGCTATTTAACACGGACCAGTTTGGGTACAGATAGCCCGTCAGTTTTGTGTGCACACATTTTACATACCATAGCTTTAGTCTCCTCTGTTTCCAACTGGAAAATTGAAATTTGAGGTAGCAATTGTTTTCAAAGTGTTACTAAAGTGACTTCACATGGACTAAGTTTACAATTTCTTTCCTGACTTTTCAGTTAAGACTATGCAAATATTTACAGTTTTGGAAGTTTATTAACTCATGTGGCTAAATAAATCTTTTATTCAACAGTCAAAAGGGCAAGGTCCATTTTACACCTTCACAGCTGGATGTTTCTTTTGCCTTCCACAGTTTTATAATGATTCAGTAATTACAGACATCGACATACAGTGTTCACTGGTGTGTCAACTACTGTCCTTTGGAAAAGGTTGTTCACACCTCACAACTGTTGTTGAAGCTGCCTACGGATTCTGACACATCATTACATCAGTTATGCTTGACTCATTGTTAATCTTTTCTCCATGTAGTCAACAACAACTAGATCTTTTTAATCAAAGCTAACACTCCAACAAGCACTGAATGTAGTTTCATTCCATATGAGTGCTTTGCACCAATACATTGGTCCAGGATTTAAACCTCATGTTTTTCTTACTAATCTGCATTCCAAAATGTTTTTTTAAAAAAATAATAATCAAGTTAGATGAACAATATTTTCCCCTCTGTATTCTTACAAAGAAATATCTGGATTAGTTAACAAAGATCTAGTCGTCTTCGATTCTTTGTTGGCAAGACTTCTCCCCTCTTCAATCATGGTCTCAGATTTATTCTAATACGATTCATTACATATTTAAATGGTCTTTTTTTGGCCATATTAATTTGTAACTTTATGATTGAATGAAAAAGCAAAAGTGTCTTAATTCCCAAGATTGCTTGAAGTCTATTTTAATACTGCAGCCTGAATCAGATTAACATGTCTCTGCTTTGGAGAACTGTGTACTTTGATGGTTTGTTTAAAGTTCAAATTTCCAGAGTTCAGCTCGCAGAAAACGGATGGCATTTTGTTCTCTTTCCTGTGTAAATGAACAGGAGAAGAGGGACACAGAAGCAGAGGTAGAGGAGTAAGAGGAGGTGGAACAAAAAAGCATCAATTTTGTAAGCAGCACAGGCTTGTCTTGCTATATGGAGAGAAAGGGAAAGTCAGTTAAAGCCCAGGCCTCTCTCAGGTGTTCAGTTATCAGATACTGTCTGTAACGTATGCTTCGAAAATTCAAAAATTCCTAAGAAGTTATTTCCTAATAAAACTGGATTTGGAAATAAAGCATGACCTATGAAACACTGATGTTACACCTTTAGCACTGTCACTAAGTACTAACCTCTGTAGCATAGATTTTGAAGAGTAACCATGCAATGTACCAGGTAATCAGAAGAAATACGCCACATAACCAGGCATGGTAGAACAAGGAGACATCCAATAAGCCACTCAGAGTGTCAAGAGGATACAATTTACTGCAGACAAAACAACCAAGAAGATACATGTGTTTTTATTATGGAAGATGTCTACAGTAAGCTGTTACAGTAGCAACAACTGCAAGCATAAAGTTGAATTATTTTGCAAAAACAGTTTCTTAAAAGATGCTTGAGATACCGTTTCTTTAATTTTTCAGTAACTGTGATGAAATGCAGTTAAGAAAATTTCATGAAATTAAGGAAAAGAAATATGAAACAGATAACAATTTTAGTCAGTTAAGGTATTTTTAGTCAATTAAGGTATTAAGACTCCAGTCTCTCTATTTTAAAACAAACGGCAGCCATATGAAAGCAAAGACATGCCCCCTCAAAACACACAGATTAGCCTTTCTAATACTTTAGAAACTTATGGAGACGAAGGAAATCGAGAGGATTTCTTAACGACTCTCTACAAGACAGTTCCTACAAGGGGTTGTCGGCTCCCTTTGGTCCCATTCCAGAAGTACTCAACGCTCCCCATGTTCTGAGCGAGGAAGAAAGGAACTGAGTCCTACTACACACACAGAGCCAGGTGCTAAGCTGGACTTCTTTAGCAAAGGGAGCTGCTGCCAATACTCTCCTGCAAGTTTTCAGCACGATGTACTACCTACCTGTCTATATGAAGATCCATCGTGGTACTTATCCATACCTTTGGGATGTAACCTAAGGGATCAAAAAGAAACACTGACACTGCAAAACATACACAATAGGCCGAAAAGAAGACAAAAGTAGAAACACGAGTCTGGTCTTGTAACACACATGCACCAGGAAACAACCTGCCTTTGGGTTTGTTTTATTTGGTTTTGAAGAAACAGAAACAGAGAGTGAAAAAAAGGTTCAGGCCAGCAACTATATATTGAGATATGTAGGGCTTGTCTTTTATTGCTGGCTTCCCAGCATTGAGTTATTTGTGTTTCCTCACTAACAAAAGAGGGTAAATAGTAATTTAATATTTTTCCCTACAGCTCAGACAGCAGCAGCAGAGTGCTTTTAAAGACTTAATGGAAACTCATATAGAACCACCATTCCTCTAATTTATCCCCTAATGTAAATAAAGTGAAAATAATTCTAGCATATTTTGACATCATTTAGGAGGATAATTACAATCGTAGCATAAAAAATTACTGATTTTTAGAAAGGTCAGTGCAATCATCAGCACAGACTTTTTTTACCGTCGTTTCAAAGACTAAACTTCAGTTTCTCATGAGTGGGAGCCATACTGCCTTTGTCTCCCCAGCTTCCTCCAAATATTATAAAAGGCACTTGAGAATAAAGCCAAAGAGCTAATGTTGACTTAAAACGTAGTGAAAATATAGCAACATTACACATAGTGAAGTCATGCCCACTGCTGGTATGTCAGGTGATGCAATATTTCCCATACCAGGCAATGGAAGGAGCAATCCAAGGCATGGAAATGTTAAAAATATTTGGGAACATTTAAAGAAAAAAAGGGGATGTAAATTACAAACTAAACCAATATTTTTTTTTTAAATTGCACTGTGTGTTGAGATTTATAATCTTTTTGACACAAATCAGGACGGGTATGTAAACAGTGGCCCAAAGCATCATGTTTTACAAGGTGCACTTGTAAGCGACCTGCTAATTAGAATTTGGAAGCTCCTCTTACGTGCAAGTTATTTCACAGCTGCCTACAACAAGATTTCCTGCACAGAAGAGATTAACTGAGACAACAGTCTGTGTTTTGGTACAGTGACCAAACACAGACTCCAGGTTAGAAAACTATTGTTCCCCACCCCCTTCTCCTTAGAATACTGTCATCTTCTTACCACCTTATCAGCTAGATAAGAAATTCTTACAGGAGGTGCTCATCTCTTTGGAGAAGAGACATTTCTCATATGCTAAACAAGCGCCTGTGAGGCTGTAAGAACTGCCATCATACAGATATCACTGTATAAACCCTGTGCCTTTTCTGACCGTTTTAGAGAGGCATTCAACCTCTTTATTTGTTTAAACAAGACTATGCCCTTCAGCAAGTTACCTGGAAGGCTGAAAAATAGTGTAAGGTCTGACTGATTACAGTTTTCAAAATACAGGAATTAAAAAAAAAAAAAGAGAGAATTTCAAGAACCTTACCAAAAAAGTAATATGCAACACAGAAGTTTCTAAGAAAATATAGTGATTCCACACAACTGTGTTTAATGAGGAGTGGCAAAGATCTTCTGAATCTTAAGTACTTGTATTGCTAAAAACAAACAAAAAAATAGTTTAGTATTCTGCATTTAAAACAAAACAATGACATGGTGAGGGGGAAAAAAAAAAACAACAAAAACCAACAAAAACAAAGGTATTTTAAAACCTGAAGTCTAGATGAATTAAAAAAAAATGTGTAAGGTAATTCCTAGTGTCACACCTACTATTTATTCTCCTGGTCTCTTTCTGCCATTTTATAATCATCTGTAGTTTACCCCTTTTCCTACCTGTGGCAGTGTGAAAACAGAGGATGAGGTAAATTGACTCTATACACAGGGAACAAACTAGAAGAACGTTGTCTAATGCAAAATAAACAAAAAAAAAACAAAGAAGGCATACTTAATCTACTAGATTTCATTTAGAAGTGTTCCATTAAAATATAGGGAAAATTCAGACAAGCATGAGTTACAGAGTCAGTAATCCTCTAAGCTGCAAAACCAGTATAATACTGATGCCTTTCTCCACACAAATTTATGTGTCTCTCCAAACGACCAAAGCAACCTGCCTGATGCTGTGTGTAAATGAAACAAAAGTGATTTAATTCTTTACTTGGCTAAGTTGCATTTTTTTAAAAATGAGAATAAAAGAGAATTAGCAATATTAAAATAATAGCATTTTCAAAAATACCGTAACTACAACATTGCCAAAACAGTGCTTAATTTGCTGATAAACTGAGTGGTGATGACTTACATTTTCCACTAATATAACCAACCTTGTTTAAAGAGACCTTTTGCCAAATTGGCTGGACTTTGTAAATCTGAGAATCATGAAAGTTTAATGGCTGCTGTGAGGCTACAGCAACAGAAGAAACATTTGTAAGATGGTGTTTCACAAGCCAGTCCTCACCATTTCACACTGGTAGAACTGCTGGACACCTCTCCAATGGAATTAGTGGAATACTTTTCATAGCACTACAAACACGAACAAGCTTTGCACGTTGAGCTTTAGGCAAGATTTAATATGCTGTTTAGACTTTAAATTGTCTGGTACCCAGTTACAACTGATAATATGCTTTTTTTTTTCCCTCAGGATTTTCAGCTTTTAGGTGACCCTTACTGTCAGTTCCTGAAGTTATCATTCGGTTATGTGGGTATGTTGTTTCTTTCCTGTAGTTCACTTTCTGCAATGGTCCAGCTCAGCCAGCTTTTAACATGCATCTGAGGGGTGTAAATTTTACAGTCACAGCAACCTGTGTTTCTGCGTTAATTTGAAAGAGGCTGAGCAGGAAGGAAGATGAACACTACTGCAATCTAAAGCTGAGTGTATGTTTCATCTACTAGAGAAAGCATGCCAACAGACAGCTGCTACTGCCACATTCAAAAACATAAACAATCAAGGCTTTTTTGGTTTACTTAGACATGTCTTTCTGCAAAGGTGTTCTAATCTCTTACCTGTATAATTGGAAAAGGCAAATAATTCATGTTGTTAATAAGGTACCAAAGGCTATAACTGTATCCCATGAAAGCTCCAGAAAGTAGAAAAAAGAGGTGGTATTCATTTAGGCATATCTGAGGAACAGCATCATCTAGGCTAAAATAGAAAACTTAGAATTAACTCTGAGTTCAAAGAAAAATAAAGTCATTCTAGCCTTTGGAAGTTCATATCAGAAGCTTGATTCTACTTTCCTTATCAGTATATATGATGATATCACAGTAAGTTTTTCCTAAAGTAGGAATCCCACCACCTATTTTTGTAATTTACGAACAAGCACGCTTTCGATATTTATGAAGTTTGTCACACTAACCAGAAGACCAAGACTTAGTCAAGTGACAACCAATTTGTCATCATTCCACTTTCCATTAAGAATCCTGGCAATTTCATTTCTCTGGCCCAGTTATTTCTCTGTGCACAGCAACATTTACAAAGGAGGCTATTTCCCATCCTTTGATAAAGGATATCAACATATAATTGCTTATTTTTTACAGTACTCAAATTATAGTCTTTTGTTTGAAAAAGGCCATCAGTAAATACATTTTACAATGTAAGTTCTTTGCACAATTTATATTCAATATCACAAAGAAATAATTACCTGTCTGAAGGCGTGCAAGGCACAGCAAGAAACTGGAACTTCCCTTTTGTCATAACTGCAGCGCACCAAGCAACCAACATTCCCATTATAGCATGAACAACTGAATGGATAACTTGCTGAGGGTGAATAATTTTTCCTATCAGTGCTAATCGAGAGCATGGTATTGATGGTACAACTGTAAATAAAAGCCAAAAGTGAATTTTCATTTCTTATTAATAAAACCCTTCATTAGGGGAAAGAAAAAAAGGCATTGTCACCAAAGAAGTTTTCACAATCAATCACTAAATGATAAAGAAATCCGTGAAGTGGCTCAGCTAAGAAGGTCTCAGCCACGAGGTAAGCAGGAATCTGGAATCATTTACTTAAAAACAAGCTTTGTGTTTTGTCTATATTAACACTGGCAGATTTCCTTTTAAATTAAGTACACCGAATGTAAACACAAATCTCTTTAAAGGGTCATCGTATTTAATTCAGGTATCACAGCAATTTACGTCACCCACCTGCATAAAATTCAGCGTTGAAGATGCTTATTACTAGTATCACCACAGACATAAGGAGGATACAAAAGATGACATAGGAAGTATATAAGTCATTGAAGGAATCTAAAATAAAAAAAATATTATTATTGCTCAGAAGAGTGCAGTAACGCATCAGTGACACGTTAAGTAACAGAAGAGCACTTTGGCAGTCAGCAATAATCCACTAAGTGCATAAAGAGAAGTAATGCTCCATGAACTCTGTAATCTCACACTGGATCTGCCCAGCTGCACAACATTTCTGCATAAAAGCACATTTAAATTTCACAGAAAACAGTCTACACCCTTATTGACTGGTTTTCTCATAAGTGAGCACTCAGATTTAAAAAATAAATAAATAAACTATGGCTGAACTAACACAGCTTCCTTTCGCTTGACAAAAGCTTCAACCAAACACCCACAATTGAAAGGTAAGAAATTCCTTACAGAGTGAGTTGCTTTGGTTTGGTTCTTTTGGGCGTTTGTATTTTCAAAGGGGGAAAGAAATCAAGCGTCTCTGCCTGGAGGAGCTAAACGATCACAGGTATCCAGCTTCCACCCAAACATCCCTCAATCACCTCTGTGTGCACTCGAGGAACGGTTATTCTCACCATGCAGAGCGGCTATTTCAGGAATTTCACTTGTGATTCGATGCAAAGTTGGAGGAAACTTAGGCAGCCGCACAAGGCAGAAAGGGGACGTGTGTCCAAAGAATGGACAACTAAGTCACTTAACCTAATTTTTTTCTCTGAAGGATACTTACAGGAGCTTGCAACAGTCATTTCTCCCTAGGGAGGACTATGGCCATTGTAAGTAAGGCAGGAACTCACACATCAAAGCTCGAGACCATTCAGAAACACACAAAGCAGAACCGTAACACACCGCCACAGTCAGTGCCCGCTATCTGACACCGAGCCCAAAACAATAGATACGGGGGGGAGATCCGCAAATACCAACACGTGACTGTAGAAACACGCAAAACATCACGAGGCACCGTGTCAAGCACTGCAGCAGAAACGGTTTTATCCGACAAACGGATTTAAAACGTTAACATGGGGTCACTTTACGGAACAAAGCGCTTAAAGCTGCGATCGCGGGTGGCTCTGAAAGGCCAACGACGGCACTCCGGGCACCGCGGACAGACACATGCACAATTCCTTCTCCTCCTCCTCCGAGAGCCCCTT